TTTAAGGACATCTCTCTTGGCGATTTTCTTTACTCTAAAGATCATGAAACAGGAGCTTAAAAGGTAACAAAAACTTATATTTTCCTTTTAGTATTTATTTCTTCCTGTATCCTTCTCTATGTCTGTGGATATAGATCAAGCTATACCCTCTTGCAATCCTATTACTCATTCAAGGCAGCAGCCATACAAAGACTTCCACAGGGAGATATAAATGAAGGTGAACAGAAAGGATGGGAAGGAAGAGAGATGGGATAAGTCCCTTCACAGGTAAAGAGTGAAAGAAAAAGATCTCCAAGAAGGAAAAAGTAGCAAAGGGTATAGATTTATCGATTATGGGAAGAATGTAATAACATAGAGTCCATTTTCTTCCAAAAAAAGCAAAACTGCATTTGTAAACTAATCATATGCAAAAAGAGTAATAAGCAGTGGTAGTGCTCTTGTTGGCTGATTTCTTCAAGACTCATTTCAATAATATAAATAAATAAATAAATAAATAAATAAATAAATAAATAAATAAGGGGAAAAAAAGACTCATTTCTGTATACTTTCTATTTCCCAATATCTCAACAATAGTCTCATCAGAGTCTAAGTTCTGGAGGTCCTGTTTAGACAACTTTGAGGGATCAAGGATGCTGATGCTAGGGGGAGATAGAGAAAGGAGTAGTCCATTTAGGAAAGGTATGAAGATATACACATATACAGATTTGAACACCTTAAGACAGTAAACTAAATTGAAATTGGAGAGAGAGAAAAAAAAGTAAGAATCCCTGGAATGAAACAGAAAAGGATCTCAGGTTTCCTCATTTCCACCTGGTTCTTCGGGGACATCTAAAATCATGGAGAAGGAACAGAGCTAGGGTGTCAAGCCTTAATCCTGCTTATTCTCATCTTTCTTCCGTGATGGAAGAACCAAAAGACATGAGATCATTCACTGCTTTATCAATATCTAAATATTAGGAATATGCTCTATTAAATGCTTCTTGGTCTAAATTCTATTTCTAGTCTGTTCCCCTGTGTTGATGAATCATAAAGTTTGAATCTGAGATGCATAAATCAGAACCTCCTTTTCTCTTTCTCAAAAATGTATGTTCCAAATTATCACAAAAAAAAATTCGGTCCTCTGTCACACATTTCTTGCACCAGAGAACTGTGAAATGTCTTCCCATTCCCTCTCTGATTTCATGACTATATTCTCCATCTAAGCCTTCATATTTTCACTTATAATCCTATTTTTTTCTGTTATAACTGACAATGCTTCTATCCCATTGCTTCCCTTGACTATAATATTTGTACTTCATTCTATCCTTTGATCTTCTTGGCACCAATATCACACCATTTTCTAAAAGAGGATTATGATTATTTTCTGTGCCCTTTCTGTTTACTATGAGGGCAGAGTATAACCTTATTCTCACCTTTTCTCTGTATCTAACACCATACACTCAAGATAGAAAGTATGAATAGAGCTGTGCTCCTTCACCACGTTCCCTTTTCATCATTTTCTGTAAAAGCCTTCCTATATGGTAGCTCATCCCAAAGAAGCAGCATCACTTACACGGACTCATTCTACCAACCCCAAGAGCCTCCAACTGTGTTCAGATGAAATATTAATTCAAGGGGCTGAGCCCATCTACCTTCCTCCATCAGCTGGGACTATAGCTCCAGAGTCTGCTCCTTCTCCTTCCTTATACCTAGATCTCACCATAGAGCTTCTGAAAACAATTGTGTCTATAGGGAAGGTCTACCCTTTGAGGGACACCATAGCCTTCCTTGCATAATGTCAATAGTTGAGCAAGAAAAACCCCAAGAGGAAATTGATTCCTATTTCATCATTTCAAGAAGCCAGTTTTCCCAACCTATCCTTCCTGTTATTGAGTGTCTGTTACTAATCCAAACAGCTTAACCCAGCTGAATTAGCTGCAAGGCATGAGGCTTTATGAAATACCAGTGGGACAACTCTGACCGATGCTACGTTTCTATTCTCCTCTCCAATGACTTCCGCATTTCCTGTCCTCATCCAATTGCATCCTTTGCTGAATTTCATCTACCCATTTTGCTGATCTATTTTAGAACTATCATCCACAGAATACCTGATTTGAACAAGCCTTTGAGTATAAAAGCAGCAGCAGGAAGTGGAGCACCACCCTGAAAAATCTGACATTATATGCCAATTGGATATTCTTTGTTCTACTATAAAGTAGTAACGACATATGGCTTATTGATATAGATTAGATATTGTGGAAATGACTATAAATTGGATACATACCAGTACTGTCCACCATTAACCTGCACAGAAGAAGCTCAGTTACAAACTAGAAAACCAAATGATTAACTGACAAATATGATCAGAATTCAGTGGAAACAAAGAGATTTTACTCAATCAAAATAATATAATTTCCTCAAAAAATGTAATACATTTATTTTTGTTTGCAGAGGATCTATTTGACTTTCTAAAAGCCCTCCTTACTTTGGGAAAGTGACTTATTTCCCCAGTGGATACAGGCTGATGGCATTGTCAAATGGATGTGATTCATTTCTATCAGTCTCATTCTGAGCAGACAGTCTGGATTTTAGACTGTTCTTTCCTCCTTCCACCTGATTTCTTACCCCTTCCATACACATATACCTCTGCTTTAATTATTGCTCTAATGAGTAGATCTAGACATTGAATAGCAACAGCTGCTAATTTCACCAAAAAGTGACCTAACCAGACATTACATCTCCCACACCACCTATGGAGTAATCTCTCCTTTCCAAAAGTCAAACATGAATCTGATAAAGCTTCTACATCCAACTTCCAACTTATGGAAAATACAGAGCACAGAGGAACACATTAAACTGCAATATAATGATGAACTCACACAAATCCAGACTATAGGGAATACCACAGGAAAATTACATGATATCGTCTACAAGTAAATTGCCAGAGATAGAGGCCAGCAGGGGAAAGAGGAAGAAAAAAGGGAAGGGAGGAAAGAAAGAGAGAAGAAAGAGATTGAAAAGACCAAATAACCAGTCACAATATGTAAACCTTATTTGGGTCCTAATTCTTAAAAACTATAAAAACATTTTATTATATTTATGAAACAACTGGAAATTTCAACACTGACTGGCCATTTGATAGTATTAAAATAATTTGTTTCTTTTTAAAGATTTTATTTATTCACTTGACAGAGCAAGAGAGCACGAGCAGGGGAGCAGTAGAGGGAGAGGGAGAGAAGCAGGTTCCCTGCTGAGCAGGGAGCCTGATGCGGGGCTCGATCCCAGGATCCTGGGATCATGACCTGAGCCAAAGGCAGACGTTTAACCATCTGAGCCACCCAGGTGCCCTAAAATAATTTGTTTTAGTATGAAACTTAAATTTATTTATTTTTTCTTTTTCATGAGTATTAAGGAGGGCACTTGTGATAGGCACTTGTGATTACGACTAGGTGTCGTAAATGATGACTCCCTAAGTTCTACACCTGAAATTAAAAGAATCATTTACATGAGAGACTCTGGACTCCATGAAAAAAACTGAGGGTTACAGAAAGAAGGGGTGTGGGAGGATGGGTAACCAGGTGATGGGTATTAAGGAGGGCACGTGTGGTGATCAGCACTGGGTGTTATAGGCAACTAATGAATCGTTGAACACTACATCAAAAACTAATTATGTACAATATGCCGACTAATTGAACATAATAATAAAAAAATAAAAAATAATAATAAATTTAAAAAAAAGAAAACCATTTAAGAAAAGCTACAGGAGTCAAAAGAATGTGGTACTTGCAAAAGGAGAGATATATAGATCAATGCAATATAACTGAGAGTCCAGAAATAAACCCATTTAACTTTGTCAATTGACTTTTGACAAGGAAATGAAGAATGCTCAATGAAGAAAGAAGAATCTCCTCAACAAATGGTGTTGGTGAAACTGGACAGCCACATAGAGAAAAATTAAACTGAACCCCTATCTTATACCATACACAAAAATTAGTTCAAAATGGATTAAAGACAGAAACATAAGGCCTGATAATGTAAAACGTCTGGAAGAAAATGGGGAAGAAGTTCTTTCACATTGGTCTGGGCAATGATTTTCTGGCTATGACACCAAAAACACAAACAACAAAAGCATGATCAAGTGAGACTATATCAAACTAAAAAGCTTCTGCACAGCAAAAGCTTATAGCATTATTCACAATAACCAAGATATGGAAACAACCTAAGTGTCCGTCAACAGAAAAAATGGATTAAAAAGATGTGAGATTTATATATATATAAATAATATATATCTATTATATATATAATATAATACAAAATACAATACTGTATTATAAACTTCAAAATTGCTAAGAGACTAGATCTTCATTTTTCCCACCACAAAAAAGATGAAAATTACATGACTTGGTAGAAGTGTTAGCTCACACTTTGGTGGTACAGCAGTCCCCTCTTATCTGTGGTTTCCTTTTCTGCAGTTTCAGCTACCTGTGGTCAACTGCATTCCAGAAGCAGATGATCCTCCTCCTGATGTATTATCAGAAGGTCAACAGCAGCCTAATCCTGCCACAATGTCTACATCATTGACCTCACTTCATCTCACCACATAAGCATTTCATCACCTCACATCATCACAAGAAGGGTGAGTACTGTACAAAAGATATTTTCAGAGAGACAGACTATATTCACATAACTTTTATTACAGCATATTGTTATAATTGTTCTCTGTTTTGTTATTGTTTATTACAGTTAATCTCTTACTCTGCCTAATTTATAAATTAAACTTTATCATAGTTACATATGTATAGGAAAAACATAGTATATATAGGGTTTAGTACTATCTGCTGTTTCATGCAGTCACTGGGGATTTTGGAACATAACCCCCAAGGGTAAGGGGAACTACTGTAATATTGCAACACATAAATGTATCAAATCAACATATTGTACACCTTAAACCTGCAATATTATATTTCACTTATATCTTAGTAAAAAAAAAAGTTAATGGTACTATCAGTGTTGTACGGTGACAGATGGTAGCTACACTTTTTTTTTTTAAGATTTTATTTATTTATTTGACAGAGAAAGAGATAGCGAGAGCAGGAACACAAGCAGGGGGAGTGGGAGAGGGAGAAGCAGCCTTCCTGCCGAGCAGGGAGCCCGATGCGGGACTCGATCCCAGGACCCTGGGATCACGACCTGAGCCGAAGGCAGACGCGTAACGACTGAGCCACCCAGGCGCCCGGTAGCTACACTTGTGTGAGCACAACATAACATACAGTTATCAAACCACTACGTTGTACACCTCAAACTAATGTAACACTGTGTGTCAATTATACTTCAATAAAAAAGGAGCTCAAGAAGTATTTTTAATTATCACTGTAAATCTCATAAGAGCTAGCAAAATAGAAGTCAATGTCCAGCTCCCAAGAAGCTAATAAGCACAGCCAATTTGTTTTCTTCATTGTTGAAATAGTTCACTGTTCCTTGTTTTATAGTTCCTTATGCAGCAGAGTACTTAGCTTTGCATTTTCTTTGTATATCTTATGAAAATGTAAATAAAATTAATTTAAAATATATGAAATAGAATTTACACACATCAGAATAAGATGCTCACACTATGACAAGCCCATAGAAACTGAGGCTAAGATGTGGAATAGCAGAATCATGGCCCCTTTCACGTTCACTTTTGGGCCAATATTCGCTGAGTGGAACAGGTGTAAAATTGCCATCCCTATTTACCTAAACTGTTCCCTTCCCCTAACTTTCTGATATACACCAGCACACTTCCCACAAGCAAGCACATCAAGTTAGACGTGACCTAATTAACTTCACTGTCTCTGCTTCAGTTCAGATTTCACAGTAATATTCTCATATTTCTTCAAAACTGTGGCCTAGTGACTCATTATTATCCACTTTGATAACTGAAGGTAAACGGTCTGGGGAAGGGGTTCCCAAGGCAGGCTGATGAGGAGCCCTGAGCACGTGTGGCGTGTGTTCACCGCTCTGTCAGATCACCACATCACGAGCTGAATCTGGAGTTCCATAAGTTAGCCAGGCCATCCTTCCCTCGTCTCTCCAAAACCAGCCATGCTCAAACCTTCCCACTGCTTTCCTTAACTAACCAAAATGGCTCTTCAGCAGGCTTATCAGGAGTCCGCCCTCCCCCGTCCAAGCAGCCTGTGAAGTGCACTCTTGACATCCTTGTTGCGAAGGCTGTACACAAAAGGGTTGGCCAAAGGTGTAATGGAAGTGCACATCACAGCAGCCACCATGTCCTTTTCCTGAGAGTTCTGGGAAGGAGGCTGGAAGTAGACTCAAATGATGGTGCCATAGAGGAAGCCAACCATGGTGAGGTGGGATCCACAGGTAGAGACTGCACGGTGGCGACCAGCAGCTGAAGGCAAACGTAGGATGGTGGCCCCAATGCGAGCATAGGAGAGTACAATGAGGGCACAGGGACCTAGCATGAGGAAGCCACCCTCCAAGAATATGGCCAGCTCACTGGAACGTATGTCAGAGCAAGAGGCTCGCAGAAGTGGTCGGTGGTCACAAAAGAAATGGGGAAGTTTAACATTGCCCTCAGCATCCCCAGCCCAGTAAAGAGGCAAGAGAAGTCCCACATGCAGCATGGTGTGCACTATAGACACCACCCAGCTCAAGGCCAGTAAGAAGGCACAGAGTTGGCGATTCATCATTGAATGGTAGTGTAGGGGATTACAGATGGCCACGTAACGATCTAGAGCCATGACAGAAATAACAAGTGTATCCGTAACTCCAAATGCATAGAAGGAAAAGAACTGGGCCAAGCAGCGGGCAGCAGAAATGGCTGGGTAATTAGAGACCAGATGGGCCAACAACTGGGGCAGGGTGACTGTGGACAGCCCCATGTCTATCGTGGAGAGACCACGGAGCAGATAATACATAGGTGAGTGGAGCCTGGAGTCCCTGGAGATAAGCAGCATTAGAGTCATGTTCCCTATTATGGTGACCAGGTAAATAGCCAGGAACAGGAAGAAAAGGAGACCTGGGGAGACTCTAGCTTTTGAGAACCCAAGGAGCAAGAAGACTGGAGAATGTGAAGCATTAGGGGTGCAGCCCATGATGAGTGACAATGAGCCTGCCTGAAAGAGAGTTTGAATCAAAGAGCAAGTCATAGGTAGTAGGCTGGGGATCATAATAGCTCTAGTTGATTTATTTATGTTATTCAAGCTCCTTAATGACTTAAATTCAACTGACCACATGGCCCTTCTGCTAGGTCTATGACTTCACTCCTGTAACTTATTAAAGCATTTTTTCCTACTTCCTTTTCATCCACTCTAGTGGCTCATTTTCTATAATCTATAAACCTTGACAAAGTCCCTCAGCCAGTTATAAACCCTTCATTCAATAGTGTCTTTTCATCCTACTGCTGCTTATCCCCTTCCAATGGCAAACTTCATGAAAAAATTCCTATACTCACTGGCTCTAACTCTTCATCTTCAATTCACACTTCATCCCACTGTAATCCTCGTGATTTCTTCTCTCCGAACCTGTAAGGGACATAATGTATCATTTAATATGTAACATATAAAGAAATGGTTTATTATAAATAGTTGATTTTTATAGTGAAATTGCTTCAGGTTGTCATAAAGTAACTTGTTTTTACTCTTGATTCCATTTTGTTGGTTAATGGCATCACCATAATCATCCATCTGGTTGTCCAAAGCAAAAGCTGGAGGAATCTCTCTCTCATCTCCTCATATTCAATCACTCCTTGACTTCCACATTTATCCTTATGTTCATCCTTTGTCCTTAATCCACTCACACTGTTTAAGCTTCAGCATCTCCTACCAGTGCTAACTTCATAGCCTCATGACTAGTTTCTCTACTTACTCCCCTGATAGATCTTCCATACCGATGCCAGAAGAAAACTTTCAACATGTGATTCCCTATTTAACGAGTCAGGGCCTTCAGAATAGAATCCAAATAGCTTCATCTGGCTTTTAAAGAACTTTTGTTGTCAATAACTAACCTATCTTACCAAGTTCGTGCTGAGACATCTACCCAGTATGTTTAAAACTAGACAGTTCTTTTTTAGTTTTCTGAACATGGTAAGCTCTCACATTTCTGTAGATCTTCACATGTTATTTTGAAAGCTTCACCTTGCTGAAATATGAGGTACTAAGTACCTTCCCACTTAACATAGGTATAAATTTTGAGAAAATATAACAATCATCCTTTTAAATTCATAACTGAGTGTTTAAGAATGTAAAGGAAATACAAGGGTTGATAATCAAGGAGGGATATGAAAAACTAACCTCTAAACTGTCCACAAGGAGGGCATGTGTTGTGATGAGCACTGGGTGTTATACACAACTAATGAATCGTTGAACACTACATCAAAAACTAATGATGTACTATATGCTGGCTAACTGAACATAACAAAAAATAAAATACAATAAACTGTCCACAATGGCATAGTGGTGGTGGTAACAGGTAGGTGGGAGGGGTATACCATTAGTCTTCATTGTCCAGAAGCTAGACAAATAACCCCGATGGTGGAACAGGACGTGAGAGTGGAGGCCTGTGTGAGGCAAAAGGTAGACACCACCACATTAATTCAGGACATTCTAAAGGGTAAGCCTTCAATGAAAGAATATACACAAACAGGAAAATGTATATATACCAGTGTCTACAGGACACCCAAAGAAAACTCGTATCTCTCATCCTGTACTTCCTGGAGAGGAAATGTCTCCCATGGGAATGCAGTTATCGGTCTGTACAGCACATGGAATGGATAAGCTTAATTACAAGACACATATGATCCTAGACCCTCAAACTGAAAAACTAACATAAAAATCATTCCCAGACTGGTAAAAGCCTTGGGATACCTTTTAGAAGCAAATATAAAACTTCTCCACAAGGAGTTGCAGACTCCAGACTGTATAGGAATCCCACAAATAAAAACCAACCAAAAAGATGAGCTCACAATTCAAAATTACTAAACAAACACAAAACCTATTTATTATGAAGATAATCAGCAATCAACAAGTGATAGAATTACCTCCCCCTAAATATCATAAAGTTAAATAATCTGTTAGGAATTATAATTTATGTTTAAAATACTTTGTATCTAAAAGAAGGAATAAAGACTGTAAGAAATAAGATTTTATAAAAGTAAAATACAACAGATTTGGAAAAGACCAAAAATGAATTACTAGACAATACAATATTCACATTCAAAATAAAAACTCAGTGGATGGCTTGGACAATGACTGAAGAGAGTGGCAAGTTCTGAGAAAAATACCCAGAAGAGAGTACAAAGTGACCAAGATGTGGGGAGAGGAGTCAAGACTTTTGGGGGAAAAAAAAATAAGGAGATCCACTATACACTGAATAAATCCAAGGAAAAAATCAATGAGAAAATAGAGGAAAGGAAATATTGAAGAAACAGACTGAGAATTTTCCAGACTTAATTAAAGAAATGAGGCCTCAGATTGAAGAATCACAATGACTCCCAAACAAGATAAATTTTTTAAAATCCTTGCATAGACACTACATTAGAGAAATTGCTATAGAGCAAATAAAAAGATAAAAAATTTTTTTACCTTACTGATTAATTTATTTTCTTTTTTCCAAGTTTTATTTAAATTCCAGTTAGTTAACCTACAGTGTAATATCAAAGTGTAGGATTTAGTGATTCATCACTTACATACAAAGATAAAATATTAAAACCAAGCAGAGAGAAAGGAAAGATTACCTACAAAGGAAAGATTAGACTTTCTGACAGAAGACTTCTCAGCAACAATAGACTCTAGAAGGCCTCATACATCTTTATCCCAATGGGTTCTGTAGAGGCAGCCTTCTCCAATTGTCCTCCATGCACATGCTCCCTTACTCAAATTTTCTTGACATAATACTTAGAGTTGTAATTTTGTTACATGTTTTCTTAAACTATCTTTTCATTTTGAGTTCCAATTTAAAAACATCATGTCCTGACAATGAAATCTGTATGAGATTGGTTCTCAAGCTTCTTGAGACTCACTCTGTGGTTAAGTGAGCCTGTGGAATACAGAAAATGGCAGCCCCAAAGCAAACTCACAATGTCTAGAAACTGCGATATATGATAGAGATGACCTTCTCAGTGTTTGAAGGAGAGGTTATTCAGTCAAATGTACTACCACAACTGCATATACCTATTGTAACTTGTGGTTTACTCATAGTATACATTAGTAGAAAGCAGAGCCACATGCATCAATAAATATAAGTCTCCAAAACATAATATTAACTTAAAAAATACCAGTTCAGAATGACAGGAAAATATGACATATATGAAGATTTAAAGCACGTAAAAATATTGTGTAGTATATATACATATATATGTATAGTATATATACAGTATATGTATAGTATATACATATATATAGTATATGTATAATATATACATATAACCCCATATATAGTATATGTATAGTATAGTGTATGTATAGCTACTATACTGTATAGTGTATGTGTGTGTATACATATATATACATATATATATACTAAAACCATGCATAGGATAATGAATGCTTTATTTGAAATAGTGGTTATCTTTGGGGAAGGAGGAAAGGATAGAGGATAGGAGAGAGAAGTAGTCTGGGTTTTTTTTAAGATTTTATTCATTTATTTGAGAGAGAGAGAGAGAGAGACAGAGAGAAAGAGAGAGAGCACGAGTGGGGATAGGGGCAGAGGGAGAAGCAGACTCCCCGCTACGCAGTGAGCTTGATGCAGGCTTGATCCCAAGACCCTGGGATCATGACCTGAGCTGAAGGCAGACGTTTAACCAACTGAACCACCCAAGCACCCAGTAGTTTGGGTTTTAACTGTATCTGTAGCCATCCAGTTTTTTAAAAATAAGAATTGAAAAAGAAAAAGAATTGAAACCAAAAAAGGTGAATCTTAAGTATTTTTTAAAGTTGGATGCTGACTATATGTATTGTCTTGGTTTCCACACATTTTTCTATATTGTGGAACTTTTCTTACTAAAATATATAAACAGTAAAGGTAAGAATAGAAACAAAAACATAGAAGCTTTAATTTTCTTATATTTTCATTATTTATTCCTTCATAAGACTAAGTATACCATTCTAGCTCAAAATAACATCCACCTCAGTTAATTCAATCCCTGTACACACACAACACTGGGACACTCATGGAGAATCCAGAATTAGGTATTATCTATCTTAGAACTGGGAGAACCAAAGGTTTATTTCCAAAACAATTTTCTAAAATCTTGTGGAAGAGAGGAAGATGTCAAAATACATGTGAAATGTTAACTATCAGAACTATAATGAGCCAATGAGCCTAGACATTTCTCTAAATTGTCTTCCCCTAACTCCAGGCATGTTCCCTGTTTCCAGTTACCATTCGTATTTCTCTGTCTTGCTGTATTAAATTCTACATTAAGTTTCTAATGGAAGTTCTTTCATTTGGGACTGACTCTAGAAATCTACAGCCAGGGACAAAGTTTAGACAGGACTCTGGAATAGAAGGGAGAATTCTTCAGCAAGACTATAATAGACAAAGGTGGAGGGCTCATAACTGCCTACATTTCTCCAGCCTCAGGAGCCCAGGACTAGATTAATCATAATCCCTCACTCATGCTACACCCTATTCATCAGTCCAAGCATCACCAGCTTGCTTGCTCCCTTAGTTTTGAATACTATTATAAACACCCATTAACTTGATTTTAACACAGAAACTAGAACACTGATTATAAATTCATATCTATGTATACATCAGCTCACCCTGACACTTCCTGCCTAAGGTAACCAATCCCTTGAATCTTGGATTAATCATTCCCTTTCTTTCATCAATACATGTTTATATTTGATATATATTTACTATAGGTATTCCAAGAAGAATATTGTTAAGTTTGAAATGATCTGAAATTTATAAAAGGGTAATAAAATTTAAGTAATTAGGGATTACTCAATTTTATGTCTGAATATTATACTACTTAGATTCAATGATATTATTGGGTACAGCTGCGGCTTATTTATTTTTCATTGCTATGTAATAGTCCCTTGTATGAATATACCACAATGTATTTATCCATTCTCTGTGATGTGTATTTGTGTTGCTTAGTTATTCCTGCTACAGGGTATGGGTCAAAGCAGACATAGTTTATATTTCTGTGCTCCAAGTTACTAACTCTCTCATATGGGCAAGTTTCTTGACTTGTCTGAGTCATGGATTTCTAAGATTGACATAGAAGCTATTTTTGCAAAGTTGTTAGAAGAATTAAATAAAATGCCTATTACTGTTTACAAAATTTTTAAAATGTGATCACCTCAAAAGATGCAGAAAGTGCATTTGAGAGAATTTGATACCCATTCATAACCAAAATCTCTTAGCATACTGGAAATAAAAAGAATAACCCAATAAAGTTCATCTAGTATTAACCTATAGTGAAAGTCATATTTGGTGCATCTCTAAAATAATCTCACTGAAGTTTAGGAACAAGCCAAGGATGACTACTATCAAAAGCTCTTATTCAACATTGCTT